AAAGATAACTTTGAAGGAAATTTTTTTTTCGAAGAAAAAATCCGCTTACAGTTCGTTCTACATAGCCAAGGCGCATTCTCCACACCAATGTGATTTCGGACCATTCTCAGTAATGCGCAGAAGATCCTATTCAGATGATCAGCAGTTACAGAAGTCATGGGTAACCTTAAATGATTTAATCTTATAGTTAAATACAATCATTACCATATTAATAATGACGCACAATTGACGATGTTCTTTTTCGTCAGCATTCTTTTCAGTCTTACGACCATCTGGGCCAACGTTGAACCAATAGGCTAAGTATGAGCACATCAAGGGTAGGTCCACATCGTAGATGTTCGGCTGTTCAACGTACATTACCCCATTGTTGGCAACCTGGTCACTAAGCATTTGCAAAGAAGACTTTTCCTTTGTAGGTTATAAAATCTACCTGCTCAATATCCGCCAGCAAATTCTCGAGATGAGGGATGTGAGTAGATAGAGTTTGTAGCATTTCTGAAGATAAAAAATGTTTTCGAATTTTGTTTGCCAGGAAAGTCTTGCTCACCTTGGACCTGGACTGATTGTTCTTGCGATTTAGCTAGCACTGAGTATTTGTTGTTCTTGTTAAACTCAGGCTCAAGGAATGCTACGGGGAAGCATGATGCGAACGCAGATAGGCATTGCCCAAGTCCGGGACGATGCCTACAGAAAGAAAGGATGATTTAACAAAAGAAGCTAAACATTCCTTCTAAAATTCTTACTTATCAGTTTCAAATCCAATACTTTTTCTCTGTGCTGCTGTTGAAGACAGTCCCGTTACCATATAGAGCGAATCCAAAATCTTGTAACAAGCTGCTTGGATATCATCTACTGTAACGGCATAAGAATAGTGAAGATATCCCCTATAGTTTTATTGAGAATTACGAGAACTAACACAAGAGATCAGTTCCAAAATGGTTTCGTGCCAAATGTCCAAACATCGTCGTAAGCACTGGGATGATCATCTGGTGCGCGAATTCAAGCGAGATCCATGATTTCAGGTTTTGTCCGCGAATGAGGGAGTACTGGCCGTTTTCCTAAAAAATCAACAAATAATTGGCGCATATATATGATAGCAACAATGATCGCAGAAGGTTCTATGAGGACCAC